TTATAATCAAGAATTATGGAGGTCTGTTACCTTTACCTTTAAACCTGAGGGGGTAATTTGGTATTCTGCACATTGGTAGTAATTTGAAATAAGAAAGACTAAATAAAGTGACCTTTGAATTAAATGGGTCCAGAAGATTGTGTATTTTTAATTAAAATATGAGATTAAATTTTTAATTAAAGTATGCTATTAAAAGCAATGTAGGTGGCAAGGGAATGGCTGCTGCTTTGAATTACGCGCAGTTTGGGATAAATTGGAGTTTACTGTGTTTCCCACCAGCACTCTGTTGCTAAAAGGACTCTTCCTGTTTTCCTCTTCCTGCTCTGACCCCCCTGTGGCTCTTGATGGGCCTCGGTCCCATTCAGAGGCCTGTGGAGTGCTTCAGCTCCGTGCTGTAGATCACTTGACTGTGGTCTAAGGAGCCTGTTTATAACTGTTGTCCTTACGTCGGGAGCAGTTTACAAGTGATTTTTCTATCTCTTGTGAAGAAGGGATCTTCTGTGGCACATACGGTAGGTTAAAAAGGAGGATGCAAAACAAAAGGCATTCGCACACGGTATATATATAGGATGCGTAGACTGAAGTATGGTATCGATCTGGAGTTTTCAGTACACACATGGAGGTCTTAGGCCATATAACTGTTCACATGGCTTCCCCTGTAGTGAAATTCTAGAATCCTTGTCTTTGCTGTTAGGACCAAGGCTTGGATTAATGGTTCCCAAATCCCCAAGAGCCTTGGGACCACAGGTAGCTTGTAAAGATAGCTGGGGACAAGTGATATTGGCGTTATTCTTGATGTCTAGTCACCAGAAGGAGTATTTTGGCCTTTAACGACAGGATTTAGTGGTCCTGAAGGTTTTTGGGGGAGAAACCTTAGCTTTGTCATTGTGTTCAGTTCTTATCACGTTGGGTTGCTTTATACTTGGAATTTAAATATAGAGCTTTATAAATTTTTTTAAAGAAAATGATTCTTGGTTTTGGGTTTATCAATATGCACGTTCTAAATTCAGAATGATTTGAAAACCAGATTTGGATGATCTAGATAAATGATGCTTGGTTTCCATGCCTTCCCTGGTGCTTTATGACTGTTACTAGCTGATGAATACAAGATTCGGGGGAAAAGTGGATCCAGACTAAATAATTTTTCTTGATTTTGACCTGATGTTGCTTTTACTTTTAAAAAATCTTCACTCAGGATAGATAACCTGAAGTAAAGTAGTCACTATATAAATGGCAATTTACTTTGTCGTAGAAATGAATAATAGCATTGAAATTCATATATAGAAAAACTGATACTTGCACATAAAGTTTAGGAATTTGAGACAGTAAGCAACTGTCTCAAAACGGTTTTTGTGGTAGGACCCAGTTAGAAAATGGCTGGTTACATGACACTTCATGCATGTTGAAGGTGTTCTGGGTTCATATATTAACCAGCTGTGAATTGAGCTGAGAGCATTTGAGAGTCCTGGAATCAAGTCCTGACCCTTACTTCTTCCTACCTGCTTTTTTTGATTCGAGGAAGCTGATTGACCTTGCCTAGCTTCAGATATCGTATCTCCCTTACAGGAGAGGAAAATGAGTATCTCACATGATAAATGTGAGGCTAAAATTAAACAGTAAAATACCACACAGCTGAAAGATGAGAATGGAGGGAGTCTTGCCTATCTTGGTATCATCTTTGAAAGCTTTAAATTGATGTAAGCTTTCAATAAATATTTGCTGACTTGACTAACATACTTTAAAATGAAAATCTCTGAAGTTCCTAACTCCCTTGTACTTCCAGTGCCAACATGCTAATTCAGCTACTCTAGTGGAGTTAGAAATGCAACCTTTTTGCAGCAAATCTCTCCTTTCATATTCTCTTCCTTAGAATGAAAGTAAAATTGTGCTTACCTCAAACATATTCTAATTGATGGGTGGTGCTCTTCCTAATAATGCCACTGAGCAAATTAGAAACTTTGTTTGTGGAGAAGAGGTCATTTAGGGATAAATATTTTCCAAGTGTAGTCAATTTACAGGTAGTAGAAACATGGCTGACTCATTACAGCCAGCCGTGATTGCTGTGGGGGGTCAGGTCAAAGACCCATTTAGTGGATGGACCATCTGATGTGATGTTGATGATAATAGCTTTGGTTAAATACATAACACCCCTGCGTTTCTCATTCATTCATTTAGCAAAAGTTGGAGTGCCTACCTTGGTGCTTAGGAGACTGCTAAGCAGGGACCAGACCGCTAGGGCAGGCTTTTTACCTTACCTGGTGACCCACCTCCGATGGGTACTGCTGTGCCTGAGAGTGACCCCACAGGCCAAGAAATAGTTTCTCTGAAGTGATGGGTAAATTGAAGGGTTTAGAGGGAAGACATCCACTTCTATCTGAAAACGGATCTGTAAATGTAGACTGTCTTCCTGCAAAGTTTCTTCACATGCCCAGACCCCTCAGCACGTGGCCCCCTTCAGAGCTTACCAGATGCCAGATTGGCAGCCCCCGATTACCTCTCACATTAAAACTGTGATTGTCAACCTTGGCTACTTGTGAGAATCACCAAGGTTTTTAAAACCTAGTACCAGTGCTTCATAAAAGTCTTTAGGAATAGGACTCAGGCATCTGTTTGCTCCCCCCACCCCCCACAAAGCTTTGTAGATGATTTCAGTGTACAACCAGGGTTGAAAAAGCATTTTGATTAGAAGCTGCTTAAATGCAGGTGTGAGGATGGTGTCAGTAGATAGGAGAAATAGACTCTTAATGTTGGTATAATTGATTATTTGATCTGTTTTATATAGAATAGCAGTGTGACAAAACTACACAATGTTTGGCTTGCCTTTCTTTTCCCCATTGTATTTGTAGCATCTTCCTGCTTTAATTTTGAATGAACATGTGAAAACTCCTTAACATATTATGGATACGTGTTAGTTTTCTTTACTTAGTCATCTTTTGACTAAAATGATCAACTTCCAACAGTAGCCAGTGTTCCATCACTGCCTCACCAGCCTTGTTGGGTAGAAATTACTATCCTTATTTAGAATTAAGTAATGGCTCAGAGAGGTTAGGTAGCTTTCAAAGTCACATAGCTAGTAAACAGCAGAGGCATGCTTAGAACTTCTGTGTGTATGTTTCCAAAGCCCATTTTCTTTCCATCTTAAACTGCTTCCTGGAGTAGCTTTTATGTTCATCCCATTTGACAATAGAGCTGAAGCACATTTTCTAAGAGGGCACTATGCATGCAATAGACACATGGTAAATGTCAAATTAGTAAAAGGCTGAAAGCTTAAAATACAGTGGCTTCACATGGAAGTTTTAAAAAATAGACCTGTGAGTAAAACTAAAGTTCTACGATTGTTGTGAGGAAAAAAATAACTAGTTTTAGCTCTTTCCTCACTTTTTTTTTTAAGTTGATTATTATTTATTTTTTGAGAAAGACCAAGAGAGTGTAAGCAGGGGAGGGGTAGAGAGGGGGAGAATCTCAAGCAGGTTCTATGCTGTCTGCATAGAGCCCAACGTGGGGCTCAAACTCCCGAAACTGTGAGATCATGATCTGATCTGATATCGAGTCAGACGATTAACCCAACTGAGTCACCCAGGCTCCCCCTCACCCTTTTTTTTTTTTTTTTTTTAAACAGGAAAAAAATGCAATTCCATTAGAGGGCATACTTCAGCAATGATGACCTCAATTTTTTTTATTGAGGTTAATTGACATATTAGCTGGGGGTATTGTACAACACCCAAATTCTGATAGTGGTCCCAAAATACAACCACAAGTTTTCATAGTTCTTAGGTACTGTAATTAGTGTTCTCTCTCTCTCTCTCTTTTATATAGTTATAAAAACCACATTAGGATAACTGGAGTGGCTGTCCTAAATACTTGTATTCATAACCACATGTGTCTAAAGTACCCCATCGAGGAAGAAAATCCCTTAGTTTGCTATGAAATTCATAAAAAATGATACTCATAAAAAGTATTTGGACCTTTACTGAACAGCTTCTGGGAAACCCTCAGTTTAACTTTTAATAGACTAAACGTTTCTTATGTCCACTTTTGTCACCTACTCTATGATAGTGTTTTTTTTTTTGAAACTGAGAAACTCCCTTAGATCAATAATTGAGACCTTTCAGATTGGCTTTACTTACATGGGCATACCATTGATTCCAACCTCTTGAATACTTTCCTTTTTTTTTTTTTTTGAGTTGGGACATCATTGAGCCAGGGGTTAGAGAGCTCAGATGGTAGGGAAAAACAAAAATTTTAAGCAACTTTTATTTTAGAAATTGTGTTTTATTATTTGTGATTATACTTTCTTCCCTTCCTACATGTTCCCATTGTTCTTACTGGCTTGGATATTCTCAGTGTAAATCTTTGTGTTAAGATTTCCCTGTATTTCTTATCTAGGTCATCAGATCGTTTTTAGAAAATCAGATTCAGTTTATTCGAAGAGGCTCTCCTATAAAATAAATGTCCATGTGTACACACGATTCTTCACCTTTTAAATGGAAATAATTGTACTTGGAAAAGGCTGTAAATTTGCCAGGGTACAAAGTACAGAACACTGACAGATTCTTGGTTGATGCATGACGCCTTCTCTTCCCATTTTTTGGGTAAAGAAAACAAAACTGGAAAAGTCGTGCCCGTGAAGCCCACTCAGCAGCTCGGCAGAGATTTGCACCCACAGTTTCTGAAGCTGAACATTGCATTTGCTGCTGGGTGCTCTGGCTCAGGCAGAATGTGTTTGGTGGAATGCTTTGGAGATGTGTGTGCGTGCGCATGCGCGCTTTAAATGCACAGCTTGCTGAGTTCTAACTGATGTTTAAACTTGCAAATGTAGTAGAAAGGAGATGGAAAAAAAGACCACATGTATATTTCTAGAAGAATTAATATAGACTTCTTTTTACTATTGAGAAAATGTGCTGGTGTTAACGGCAAGACCATATACCAGAATGAGAGTGGATCTCTGTCATCAGTGGTGTAGAACTAATGTATGCCTTTTTCTCCTTCCCTTTCATTAGGGCAGAGCTTGGGATATGGCTTTGTGAACTACATTGATCCTAAGGATGCAGAGAAAGCTATCAACACCTTGAATGGATTGAGACTTCAAACCAAAACAATAAAAGTATGTTTCAGTTTTCTTCCTAGCTACCTGCAGAACAAAGGTTAAAAACAATTGAAATCTTCTTATAGTTCTTTCCTTTATTCATTTTGTGCCCACCTAGACACTTCTCTGGGAGGCATAGCAGAATTTTTGTTTGTTGGATGATGGGGAAACTGTTCACGGGGACTTTATGTAATCACTTCTTATTAACAAGGGGGCAGAGCAACTTTCTTAGCTAAGTACTTTGTGAAGCCTGCTGAATTAAGTCTCCTTCCTTTATAGTGAATTACTTGCCACATAACTTGGGGAAACCTTAGACCAATTCTTTGAGCTCAGGGGTTGGCAGAGTTGTTCTTTAAAGGGCCAGGTAGTAACTATGTTAGGCCTCATGGGTCATAGAGTCTTTGTCATAACTGCTCAACTCTGCCCTTGTCGCGTGAAAGCAGCCATAGCCAATAACTGTGTGAATGAACAGATGTGACTGATCTTAAAAAATCTTATTTGTAGAAGCTGAAACTTGAATTTCATGTTCTGTTCATGTGTCACAAAATAGTCTCTTTTGTCCCAGTCATTGAAACATATAAAACTCATTCTTAGCTCATGGATCATAAAAAACAGCTGGCAGTCTGGATGTGGTCCTTGGGCTATAGTTTGACTCTTCTCTGACTTTGAGGAGACTGACTAGATGAGCTTACATGCCACACAGGTTATTTTTCCTGTTACATTTTCCTTTTCAAGACAAATGGTAAATAATTTGTGGGTATTTTCTCACTTTTGTGAATTTTCAAAATGCCAGTGTAGATTGTATTTGGATAAGAATTTAATCCAGTTTGCAGTATAGATTTCTTTTCCTTTAGAGAATAAAAGGGATGTAGCTTCTGGCAAACACTTAGCACACGTGCCATTAATTTCCCCTCTCCTGCCCAGTGCAGACATTGCCAATCAATCATGGCAGTCTTTCTCACTGAGCCTAGATGTGACTCCCAAATATTTTTCAAAATAGTGTTCCAGACAACCTCTATCAATTGACTCAAGTTGGAACCTATTTTCCACTCTTGATTTAAGAAGTCTGCTCAGACTATAGCCTCAAGTGGTGAGGGTAAGTTAGTCAAGGCTGATTGTGGCATCCATCTTGCTTAGATACTTGTCTAGAAGATTTCTGCTCATTTTTTCAGAAATCTGGAAATGCAGTGTCATCTTTGTGCTTAAAAGTTGCTTCTCTCAGAATTGTCAGCTAAGGTAATTTATTAGCCCTGGGTAGTTTTGACATCTCATTCTTTATATTTATTGGCCTGTAGGAAGAATGACTCCCAGCTCTGTCTTATCTAAAGGGAACTGTATGGGGTAGCTCCCAAATATACCTGGATGTAAGATGTCCAAGAATTCTGCATGTTTTTTTTTTTTTTTAATTATTTTGAGAGAGTGAGAACATGGGGGAAAGGCAGAGAAGGAGGGGGAGAGAGAGAGAATCCCAAGCAGGTTCTTCACTCTCAGTGCAGAGCCTAACTTGAACCCATGAACCATGAGAGCATTGACCTGAGCTGAAATCTAGAGGTGGCTCCTTAACTGACTGAACCACCCAGGTGTGCCACATTATTACTATTAGGTAATAATCAAATGCTGTTAACATAAAAAGACATCTTATATCCAGTTACTTTCAGATTGTTTTGTGTGTTTTGTGTTGCGTGGATTTTTGAAGGCCTCCCCATGTTAAAGTGATTTCTAGAATTGTTGCTAATTTATCTTAGTGTTGAGGTCCTGCATTGTGGGTTTGAAGATATTGGAATACATGGTTGGGATGGCTCATTCCTGAACATAACCTTTTCCCCATTCCAGAAATAACCATCCTTATTTCATTTTAGTGAGTCAGTCCTTCAGCTGTAGGTTCTTCTGCAATAACGTCCACAGGAAGGCAGAGATGGAGGGGGAAGAGTTGCCAGAGAATGAGTTTCCATGCTTGCAAGGAGACCATTGATGACAGCTGCTTCCTTACTGCCCATTGCCCGGCTTCCTCTTCAGGGCCTAGCGGCCCAGGCAGACTATGTGGAAGAAAGGACAGTAATGCCTTGTGGCTTTTAAACTGTGACATCTGCTACTTTTCTTCTGATTTTCTGAAATAGGGGGTAGGAGTGGTGGGGAAGCAGCAGGCTCCTTTTTTCCCCACCCCCATTTGGTTCCTGTAAAATATCAGATAACAGCTGGTATCCTCAATTTGGCCCAGATTTCTCTGAGAGGCAAAGCAGACCATTTTCCAAAACTACAGAGCACCATTTTTGTCTATTTGTTCTTTGTGTGTTTTTTGTCTTATTTTCAATTAGACATGTTTTGCGTTCTTACACAACATCTTGAGCCAGTTTTTTACCCCCCTCTTCCCCCCCGTTTGCTGCTTTAAGTACCTTTTGGAAGCTGCTTGTAAACCTTTCCATTCCGTGAGATACCATTCCATACATTGGCCTTTTTATCTTTCTTCCAGTCTGTCCTGGTGGTGGCTATTGGAGTAAACTTAAAAAACAGTGCTTTCCTCATGTTACTTCTCAAATTTCTCCTGTATCTCACTGATCTTTTACCCTGTCATTTGATTTCACTTTGGAGTTGACCATTGGTATGACTGCTTTCTACAGTAGTCAGATTGGCTCTTCTCTGGCACGTGATCATCGTCTCAGGCTCTGCACGTGTGCTCCTGTAGGTCTTGCTTCCTGGCATATGGTTTCCCCCCTGCTTTTAGTTAAATAGCAGCCTATTGGAGCCCATCCGAAGTTCTTCCTTCAGCCACTTCCTACTTGGGCTTCCCCCAATAAAAACAGTTGAGACTTTAGTGCTCACAGAGTTTAGCTAAGACGAGTCTTTTAAAGACAAAACTCTTATATTTAATGTGGCAAAACTCTTTCTCTTTAGAAAGCTGCAGTAGACTAATTAATACATACATCATATACAAGCATTCAAATGTTCGTGTGCTCCTCAAGTTAAGTCTTCAAAGACACCTAGTATTTAGTATGCATTGGTAGAATTCCTAGCAATTGGAATATTGAAACTGTGAATCAAGTGCCATGAAAGGTGGTTTATTTAGCAGTTTCTCCTGGGACTCCCTAATAGCCTTAGCCCAGTAGGGTTTTGTGTAATAGATGGATGGTGTGTTGAATAAATGACAAATACTCAGTATTTTTGCAATGAGTGAAGCAAAGTTGCCTCAGAATCACAAGGGAAAGTGTGTTGGAAATACACATTCTGGGGCCCACTTCGAACTACAGGAGCAGTGTCCAGAGGTGAGATATAGTATTCTGCTTTTTAATATGTTTTCCAGTTAATTTGTGACAGCAAGTTTAAGGCCTAGCACTTGGGAGCCACCAAAATGTACCTTTTCTGAATAGGTGGGTTCTCTAAATATGGGTATTTTTGCATGCTAACTTCAGTGTGTTTTCATCTTTTATCTTGATATCCTCTTGTGGATAATTCTCCTGAGCATGCTGAATGATAGTTGAACATTCAGAGTAAAAAGTGGTTCATAGCATCTTCACTCCTTAACACGTGTGGTTTAGAAATTAGAAAACTGGGGTGCCTGGGTCGCTCAGTTGTAAGCATCCGACTTTGGCTCAGGACATGATCTCCCAGTTCGTGATTTCGAGCCCCACATTGGGCTCTGTGCTAACAGCTCAGAGCCTGGGGCCTGCTTCAGGTTCTGTGTCTCCCTCTCTCCCTCACCCTCCCCTGCTCACACTGTCTCTCTCTCTCTCTCTCTCTCAGAAATAAATACACATTTTTAAAAAATTTAAAAAAAAAGAAATTAGAAAAACTCAATATGTTCACCTTATGTTAGAAACATGTTTATTAAAAAGAGCAGCATTTGTAGGTTAAAGTTTCAGAGTGGTTATTCTCTTCTCCTGAGGGTCACTGTTTTCCCTGGTTGGATCGATGCTTCGATGCCTTACCTTACTGGTGATGTCACACCATCTCTGAGCTGCATGGAGGCAGTTATGATAAAGCCTGCCCATGTTGTCCCTGATACTGAGATGGTAAATAAAGTGTGAAGAAGACAAGATGTTTTTAACTTCCAGCCTTAGGGAAGAGAGTGAAAAGGTAGTATATGCACAGTTCAGCCATGGGGGGTGAGAATCTCATGACAGTGTCAAAAATTGTATGCTGGACAGGGCGAGCAGCTCATCAAGATCCCTCTGGTCCCGGTCCCCATGGACACCTTTTGTTCTGTGGCCCATTTGGGATCTCAGTGGTTGTGACTACTGTGTTCAGTCTTCACATTCTCTGCTCACTTTGGTTTTAGGGAGTCTCAAGTATTGATAAAATCTAAATTGGTATATGAAACACTTACGGGTTCAAGCCAGTACTCCGCCCCCCCCCCCCCGGGAAAATGTATTTTTTGCCCAGGATAATGGTATCAGACTTAAATTCATATTAGCAGAGTAAAATCATGAATTTCCAAAAGATCTTACATGGTTTCCTCCCCCCCTCCATCACATGCTATGAACAGGTGATGGAGGTCCTTCCCCTCAGGGTCACTCTTCCCCTCCTACAAGGCATGTAGGAAGCTTTGTTAGTTTTGCACTTTATCTGAAAGTGGGAATGGTTACCTCAAGGAATAGAAGCTTTTTGTTATTGTTGATAGATACACCTACAAATCCATGCCTTCTCTGCCCCGCGGAAGAAAAAAAAATCCCTGTTTGAAATACTACCCGTATGAAAAAACTATCTAAATTTGGTTTTGATTAATCATTCAGACATAGGCCAGCCTAAATTTCACCTTTGCTTAAAAGTTACTAATTGATATCATTAATGCAAAATTTCTCATATTAAAATAACCAAACCACCATTTAAGTGCAGATGGAAAACCTTGTAATAATTGAAGTAACTAATTACAAGTAGTATTTGTTTCTTAAAGTGTTCAGTTTCTTAGAGAACGATTAAGTTAATAAACCTTTATTCTAAGCCATTGTGTTGCTTTAAATTATTTGTTACATTTATACCTTTTCCCAACTAGTCTAACCTTTTTCCAGTACATGTCATGGTCA